TATTTTATTTTTTATATCAAAATATGTCAGATTAAAATATAAAATAACTCAAAAAGTACTTAATGAAAAAATACTTTTTTATAGTGTTTTGAAAAGCTCTCGAGATGAGCTACAAGAATATGCAATAAAAAAGGGGGGTTCCATTTAAGAAAACGTCGATCACATTGACCTCACCTTGAAAAGGTCACTCAAGGTCAAATCCATATTTTTATCATGTGGCCCCCTCCTAACCCTACAACTTTTGTTTGAACCATGTTTTTCGATAAAGCTTACTTTCCGAGATATTTTACAGTTTCAAGTTAAAAAACTCACCCTGTATAGAGTGTCTCTGAACTCAGTGCTAAAACTGGTACAGCGGTTTTAGCACATGAAAATAAGACGAAAATGTCTAATAAACATATGTCCGAAATAGTTTCGGAGTTATACGGTATTGCACTTGCTTTCGTAAGAAAACATAAATTAAAGTTATTATCATTTAATGCGACGGAAGAATTTCTAAGCACCTTTTATAAAGCTTTAAACAGAATAAAGAACATTAAACAACATTTATTTCAATTTATGTTTTCTTACAGCAACTTCAATATCCTCTCTATAACTCCGAAACTGTTCGGATTCGGAGCATGGAGTTATGGAGGGTATATGGACGTCCAATGGATGTCATGTTCCGTGTGGGATGTTTATTAGACATTTTCGACTTGTTTTCATGTGCTAAAGCCGCTGTACCAGTTTTAACACTGAATTCAGAGACACCCTATATACAGAATTTTTTTATTTTAATGGAAACAGTTGTATATCTCTTAAACTTGATATACAAAAAATGTTTTAGAAAGGGTGGCGATAAGGATCTCAATCTCGGTCTTAGTTGTTTTTGTTTTGTTTTTATTATACGGTTTCATATGCTACATGCCATGGTGTAAGTAACAAGGTGTGGTATATCTTCTCGGATGAATTTTCGTCACATTCTGCGCAGCACCAGGTTTCCGCCATCTTGCAAAATCACCATAGCAACCGATAGCAACGCGACGATAAATGTAAACGAAATAGTGTCATGATACACAGATTAAGCACAGTTTTGCAGCAGTTTCGTGAGTTTTGTGAATGCAATATAAAAAAAATTCAAAAATAAAAAGTAATTTCATTTTTATTGTATCTTCTATATTGTTTATTATGTGTTATGTATTCTCTATCGTTTATTATATGTTTATTGTTTCTTATATGTGTTTATGTGTCTTATATTTGTTTATTTATATTTATGTGTTTGTATCTATTCTTTTCTAAAAATATATTCACCATAATTATAATTACACACGAAAGATCTTTTATTAAAGCCCTTTCTTGCCCGAATCTTCGTTTTAATATCCATTTAAATTATACAAGATGGCGGAATCTTGTCACGCTCTCTTATTGGTCAGTAGAAATGCCTGCGCAGTAGCACACCTTGTTACTTACATCATGCTACATGCAAGTATTTGTTGATAATTTTTTAATAAACAACAAACGATGGCTAAAACCGTATGAAAATCACTTGGAATTATGACTTTGGCAATATATGTTAAAATCAAGATCATTTAAAGTGAGTTTCCTCATTAAACATATATATACGTTTTTACATATAATATTAAAAATATGATCGGATTATAACCATAAAAAATATTTCATTTATATTCATGCTCATAATAAATGTGAAATACTTAGTAGAGAAAATATATGGTAATTATTTACATTAACGAACATCTCGCCGATGACCTTGACATATGTTGTCAAGAACATGACCCTATAACTTTCCCTTATAACTTAATCGGCAGTCATTGTTTATTAAAAAGTTATAAATAAAAAAAGTTTGAGAAATTTGCCATTTTGTGTCAGTGCTAAAGGAAGTAATTTGCTGATATGTGTGTGTAGACACAGTGCTCGTTTGGGCGGGGGAGGTTTTTTTATTGTGTGTTTTATAGTGTGTTTCAAGATTGGCCGCCAATCTAAGATATATGCATTACAATCCTGAAGGATCAAGGTTAGGTGTAGAGTGAACTTCGTTTCATCTTGCAAAGTACATGCATGGACGAAGTGGGTTCCGCCCTCCCCCCCTCCTCTCCCCCTATGGGGGGCTCCATTTCCAGGAGATATGACCTAACCCAAACCAAATTTTAGTTTTAAATCAGAAATAGATTTGAGTTAGGTTATATCTCAGATAGCAAAATGCTAGCAATATGCCAGCAATATGTCAGCAAATTAAATCATGACTTTACAGCAGATTCCCCTCTGCTGCGTCCTCATTAAGCTTAATTTCTGGCAGTACGGCTTGCCGATATTACATAACAGAGAAAATGAAGCAAAAATCGAGTATTATTTGCTATTACGTCGTGACAATAGATATGTAGCAAATATCGAGCGAAGTCTGCCATATCAGATCTGACGGCAGAAATGTGGCAGAAATCATGCATGGCCTGCCGTTACAATGTGATGACGAAAACACAGTAAAGATAAAACACGCCTGAAAAGCATAATTACTAATATTGATGCAATAAAAACTAAATATTGGCATAGTTATAAATATTTAATTAAATATATAATTTTAAATAAGTGATTAATTTATTAAGATTTCAAGATTTGTATGGAAATTGCACTCTTATTTTGTTTCAAGTAGTCAATAAATGGAAAATTTTCTATTGATCCCCGGTTTCCAAACTTTCAGTTTAATATTCTGAGTCCTTTGTTAGTCAATTTTTTAAATGGAACTGCCTACTTTTTATTGCATATTCTTGTAGCTTATCTCGAGAGCTGTTTAATATTAGCCCAGTTTAATATTCTGAATCCTTTGTTAGAATTCAGATATTAAACTGATAAAAATAGATATTATGGCTCCTGCATACAGGACACAAGACGCGGCAACGCTTGCTGCATCGACACGTCCTGTGTGCAGGAGACATTACACATTTTTAATCTTGTTAGCCGCGCTTTGCAATCTTTATATTTGCCTGTAACCTGTAACAGAAACTTCAATACGAGATAGATACGTCATATAGCGGTATATGAAAGTACTATAACTTAATATAACATATCTTAAGGTTACTGTGATTCTGCCATTATTTTATGACAACAGATCATGCTATATTTCTGCTGTGTTTTTGCTGTTATCTTTTGAGATGGCAGCGCATGCTTAATTTTTGCAGCATTTCTGCCATTACGCCGTGCTTGCAAATGAACTCGATTTCTGACGATATTCTGTCGACGTAGCATGATGCGTCATGTTATGTTCAATCTAATTTCTGTTAATATATTATGTCAATATATGCAATGCTTAAAATCTACTGTTTTTATATTAAGAACTTCTGCTTAAATTTTGCAGCACTTTTTGTAACATATCATGACGCGGAGACTGTTTATTTCCTGCTGCATTTCTGCCGACATTAATTAGAACGGTAGACTATGCTCAATTGCTGCCGGAGTTCTATCAACATAATATGTAGTGTACAATTTGCAATATGTAATCTTGCAAACTTGGCTATCTGGGTATCAATTATTTCCTTTAACACTGACACAAAGTGGCAGATTTCTCAAACTTTTTTTGTTTATAACTTTTTAATAAACAATGACCGCTGATTAAATTATGAGGAAAAGTTGCTCAGGGTCATGTCCTTAACAACATATGTCAAGGTCAAGATCATCGGCAAGGTGTCCGTTAATGTAAATAATTATCAAACATATTATATAAATCTTACATAAATCTCATTAGATCGAGAGCCGCAACTGCTGGATTAGTTCTGTCGTGACAAACTGCTGGTCGTCTTTCTAGAGGGGTTGGCGTAATATAAATGACACGTCGTCCCCTTTCTGCCCAATATATTGCTGCCTGCGTAGGAAAAACTATTTTAAAAATTATCAACATATGTAAAGGATGAAAGAAAAGCGTATCAAATTGTTTTGATGTTAATATACCCAGTCAGAAGTGTAACATCAGTTCAACATTGATTCAACGTCCAAACAGTTGAGAACCGCTTGAATCGAATTGAAGATCGATTTTCGTGCAATATTGACTTATTATTTTTGAAAGTTTTGTAATGCCTGAGATTATTTCACAGACTTCTATACACAGAGTGTATCAGATCACCCGTGCCAGCCGAATATCTCGAAAACCGAGAACGGCAGACAAAAATATTTCAGACAAAAGTTATAGAGTTTCAAGTAACGCATTACATAGTAATATTAGTACGACCTTGAATAATATTGTCAAGGTCACGTAAAGGTCATCATAAATTTCTTATATGGAACTCCCTATTTTTTATTACATATTTTTATAGCTTTTTTTTTATACTGATTGATTTGTCTCATTATTCTGCACATAAAAGTATTACTATACTGACTCATATCACGTCAAAATATGATATAATATTTAAGTTCTATAATCAATCGTACATTATTTCACGTTGTATTATATAATCGTGTATTTATAATGTTTAACATATATTAAAATAAAAGTAGTTTCTAAATAATTTAGTTAATTATTTGCTTCTATAATTATTAATTGTAATTTTATTAATATTACGATTTTATTATTTTTCTAGTAACTGTTTATTGCAATAATATAACATGGAAATAACAAATAATATAACACATAAGTTACATATGTGATACATGTAAAATCTATGATATATAGTATTAAACATATGCAATGTTATAAATTACTGCATATTGTAGTATTGAATTAGTTTGTTCGCTTACCGTGATGCATTATGTAATATCTATCTCGTACTCAATTTTTTTCATGAAAATAAATCAATTTTATAAAGCATAGCTAATAACATTGAAAATTTAATACATTTTTCTATTCATTTTAATTTCTGATACAATTCCAACACAAGGAATTATTCAGATCTTGAACTAATTGTTCGAAAATGGAGATAGATGAGTATCCAAATCCAAATAAGTGGAAATCGCCCATTTTTTACATCTATTTTAGATGTAAAATAGGAGTTTAATTTCTACATAAATAAAATCTTGAATTTTTTTATATAAATTGTTATTTAAAAATTTCATTAAATATATATAC